GATCCGAGAGCTGCTCGTAGGCCGTCCAGAACAGCTCGTGCATGCCCGACTCAAGGAGTGCCGACGGGGTGTTGTGGCCCAGTTCGACCATGCGCTCTGGCTTCAGCTCGTTGATGATCAGCGTCATGCCCACGCTATCGTAAAACGGATGCATCTGGTGAACGCCGTGCGGGCATCGCTTATCCTCAGCCTCCGAGGCCATGGCCTGGGTGCTTGAGATAAACTGCTTGAACCGCTGCTGCTCCTCCAGCTCCTCCTCGCTTTCGCTCACATCGGCTGCCGAGGCGTCGTGGCTTTCTTCGACAATGACCTCGACACAGCGGGCTCCAGCACCGCGCAGCGGCTTTTGCAGCTTGACTCGTCGAGGCGGCTGATTGATATTGGGGTCACCAACGTGTTTGTTGTGCAAATGAAAGTGCAGGCTATTCTTCGTCGTGAAGCATGCCTGACAAATGGGGCAACTCACGCCGTCCAGAATGGGGATACCTTCCACAGGCGCTCGAGGCCCAGCCTCTGTTGCAACATCCTCTGTTGGCTCCTCGGGCTGCTCAGAGCGCAGGAGCGCCGTGGCTGCATCAATGTCTTCTTGACTACACCGAACATGGTGCTTTTTGAACAGGTGTTGGGGCACATTACCACTGAGGACATGGTCACAATGAGTACACACCAGCCCTGAAGACGCGGGAGTCACCAAGCAGCCAATGTCGGTCATGAACATCTGAGCCCCAACAGCACCTTGCTGCTTATCAAGCTTGACGCTACGCTTTCGTGTTCGCACACGTCTTTGTTTTAAACCAGCGGAAGGGCATTCATTGGTTGGAACACGTGTTGCAGGCACAGGAGGTGTTTCCTCTTCATGCACACGCTGGAGATGGGATTTGAGGGTGGCTGAGCGATCATGGCGGTAGCCGCATCCCTCCACCGGGCAATGAAAGTTCCCATCTTCTTCTCGGTGCCTCAGGATGGTTTGCCCATTGAGCCTGACGGACGTGCTTTTTTGATGGACCTATTGCCAACGCATCGTGAGATTTGATGCCTCGGTTGCTCCAAAGATCGCCGAGTGGTTGAACGCACCCGAGAGACATGCTGTTCCTTTGCCCCTCGATTGGGAAATATCTGGCCGCACTGTTTGCACGGCATTTCCTTGACTCTGGGCATGGTGAGAA